GCCGTATACGGCACGTACGAAGCTTCCTCCCTCCTCCCCTGCCCCCGCCTCTCGAGAGAAGCTCCTCGCTTGCGCGCAAGCATTTCTCTAATCACACAGAACAGAGGTTCAAGTGGGAAGAGCGTTCTGTCGCTTGATCGTGCGAGTGCACCGAGAGTCCCTCGAGGTCCGAATCGAGGGACGGCGTGAACGTGTCGCAAGAACTCACCTTCGGTGCTGATAAGTGCTCAAACGCGCAGATATTAGATTCTGAAGGTCAGAAAGTCGCCGGGAAGAGTGTCCTCGCGGTCTCTCTTCCGGACACGAAAGGAAAGCAAAGACAAAGGAAAAAACGGTCGCCACCCGCGGCGACCACCTGTACACGTCGTGGACGATAAATTATGCTCGCATAATAAGCTAATTGGAAATTACATCACGTAATATAAATTACGCGCGTTATTTAGTCATGAAATACCGCTCGCACGCTCCTCCTCTCATGATTCATTTAGGTTTATCATACCTACCGAGAGGTAGGTTTCGCGTTCTCGCTACGTATTTAATGCTAGATGTGGCCGTCTAATCCCGAGGGTCAGCTTTTTTAATAGCGCAGCTAGCCGGCTGTCTCGCTCTCTCGCTCGCTCTCGTTCTCTCGCCGACGTGAGAGCGCGAGATAGCGATCGGACACGTAGCGGCGCTAAAAATATGTTGCGCCCGAAACGGTATCACTTTTATCACATTTCTCGCGCGGCTACGAATTGACCGCCGCGGGCTAATCGGCTCGATGAGAATCCTCGTTTGATTATCCGTCATCAGCCTAATTCCTTCGTCGATTATGCGTCGCTTTACGTCAGAAATTTCACGCCGTTTCACCTGTCGCTTTCGTGCTCGTCCTTCTTCTCTCTCTCTCTTTCTCTCTCTCTCTCTCTCTCTCTCTCTCTCTCTCTCTCTCTCCCTCCCTCCTCGGCGAAACTGAATCGATCGGGCGAGTCGCGCGCAAACCGCCGTATAACACGTTCTCTTCGTTCACTTAAAGGATTGCCAAGTGAAGAGAGAACGAGCTGGCAGCACAGGCGGCGAGCTAATTCGTTTCCACGAAGGAAATTACGTGGCGTTGCATGCGACTGCAGTTGCAACGCGCTCGGCCGAGTACTTCCGGGAATGCAGTCCGGCGTTTTCCCACGATACTTTCGATCCAGCGATTTCACAACGACACCGGCGACGCTCGTGTCGCCTTTTTGCACGATTAATGAACTAATTTGCGCGCGTCGCTTTAACGGCAATTAGTTTATTGACGTTTCGCGAGGACGGGAGCGCCGCGGAGCGCGGGCGACGGAGCACGAGATGCCGCCGCCACCGGCGACGGCGACGGCCGGCGAAAATCAAAGAACGGATTAACTAATTATTAAGCTAATTTTCCAATCAAATAAAACGGACAGAGATCGCCGAGATGGATCGTCCGGCGTTCGTGTTTCATCTCATTAGCTTCTTTCGTATGAAGCTGCCGCGTATAAAAATATGTAATGACATTCGAAGCAATCAATTTTCATTACACCATCTTTCGCGCGAGAATAATAAAAGAAAAGAAATTCAATGTGGGAACAAATTTAGAATAATATGAAAAAAGTAAAGAAATATAAATTAATTATATATCTCCGACACGTCTATCGGTCTTAAGCAATTGATTTATCGGACCGAAATCTCAATCGTTGAATCTAACAATCGTTATGACAGTCGCTTTAGTGACCGGCACCGAAAGAAGATAAAAACGGCACGCGAAATATGAGGTCGTTACGCAACGCGAAGAGGATCGCTCGTAAACTTCCAACAGTCGCAGAATTCTCGTAATTAAAAGTGCGTACACGAGCGCGCTCTCGTTAATGACTTTACGGCAGAAACGAAGAGAGAACTATCGTTCGAGGAAAACGAGTGATATATTGCTAGCGTTCTTCGTATTTGCGAAAGTACTGGCCGTGGCTTTTAAAGCGGTACGCGCAAAATCTTCCCTACTGTCGCGATGCAATCGAATTTGATGGAGCAACTGCTTGCTCAAGAGAAATTGAACGACGGCGCTTTCTGTTCTATCCGAATTAAAATCTTCCGTAAAATCTAGCTTTAGATTTCCATAAAAATAGCTTAAGGAAATTATTGGACTGATCGGCAAATGAAACGACAGACTTTTTTTATTTATAATTATTTCCTTATTTCTCTTTAATAACGTTGGAAGTTTGAGTGATATTCGGATTTTCAAACGAAGGTAAGGAAGGAAGGAACGCTGAAGGTAACGGTAGTGTAAACACTGTTAACACACTATTGAATATTTAGACTTTGTGTAATGATACGGCTGAGCAACAGCGAGATAAGATGTTAGCAGATTTAAAGTAAGTTACTTTCAAAGGACTATTAAAACGATTACTGTCATTATCGATAAGCGTATTAGTAGAAATAATATTATCGGAGAAACAATTTTGTCAGCACTTGTGAAAATATATATATATATATGTATAAAACCGGTATTTGCAGTTATAAAATATGTACAATTTATGATTGAAAATACAATTAATAATAAATTCGTATTCATGGCCTGTTTTTTATCGTTGTTTTAATCGATATTTCTTGTTATATATAAATAAGTATCACAGACTGACGAATAATCAGAGTAATTAGAATAATCATGGATTCATAAAAATTATGATTACTTGTCAAACAAATAACGAATATCGGTCTGAAAATAAATTTCGACACGAGTCATTTTATTCTCAGTTTGCTCGTCAAACGTCCGTTGAAGTCGCAAGCATTGCGAATAGCAAAAAATTTCACGTACCTGGAAATATGTTGCCGTTGTCCTGCGTCCTTCGTCCTGGCTTCTCGATGCTGCATCCCGATCCTGGCTGTTCCTTGGCATCTCGACACTCACTGACACTGACACTCACTGTCACTGACACTCGCGTGAATGAACAAGACGTATTTTAACGCGATGCCGACAAGAAGCAGGACTGAATATTCTTCGGTAGCCGATAAAATGTTTCGATCACCCGGCGAGAATTCCAAACAACAGAGCCAACAGGTATTTCACGCCGCGGCACGTGCCGCTTGTCGGCTCGAGACACGATGACTGGCTCACGGTCAAGTACGCACGAGTTACCGAACAATTGGCACGTGGGAAAGGGAAAGAGTCTTCCCTATCCAATCACGAAGCATCGTCGCCCGCCAATGAGGACGAGCACTTTTGCTGGCTGAGAAATCACAATTCTTGTAACATTTTCGACCTTCGAGAGATGGTCGGACCATGAGATGATTACGGAAGTCACTTATGTATCGGAAATATCGATCCTTTAATATTCCGTGATCGTTTAACGCGCGATCATTAATTACTCGCGCTTTTGCGCGGCTTAAACATGGTGAGGACAAGTTGCAGGACGCAGCACGCGAATCTCCAGATTCTATCGAAATTTTTGACGCCGTGAGAGTGTCGATGAGATAATTACGGGAGAATATCCGTCAGCGTCAAAATTACGTGATTTGTTGGATTATTAAAGCGTGCTAGGAACGGCACGGCTCTCGCCCGATTCGCTCTCCTCGATCCGCGAGAAGAAGTCGCAGAGGGGCTTCAACGGCTTCCCGAAAACCGGCGACGATGAAAGCCAGCGAGTCGACAGTCCGCGGTTCGACAGGTCGCAGAGCTCCCGGGTACGTGGTCGTGGTCGATCTCGAAAGTTCGCAGGTCCCGACCTCGACGCTAACTCCGTGAAGTTACGATACTAGACTGGAGGGGCTCGTATCTCGAGCTTTAATGGGACCGGGACAAAGTAGCCGCGGAAATTCCGCGCGGCGAGATAAAACCGGAGATAGCCCTGGCAGCTCGAGGTAAGTTTTAAAAGTACGCCCGGCTAACGTAATTTACCGTCGATGACCGCGCGACAATTCCCCCACTTTGTTTCACCGCGGGTTAATTGCATGCAAACAATTAATTAACCGCGCGCGCCCATCGGCGCGCCGTTTATCTTCGCGGATGCTTCCCGCCGGAAACACCGCTCGTTAACGCGGATTATTTGTCGCCGCGGCGCGTCGGGCGGCGATGCGACTGATTTTCTCCCGCGAGAGCGAACTGCTTCTCGTTTTTAACGCCACGACCGAGCCGATCGAGACCGATTTCGCGTCGCGCGAATCTTCAAACGGGGCAGCGGCTGAATCGACGCGTCGTGTAAGAAGAGAGCAGGCAAACGGCCGGGAAAATAATTCGCCAATCAACGGAGGTCTGTCGTGACAATCGCGGAGCCCGTCGACGAATTCCATTGACGAATGTTAAATCGTGCGATTATTATCCGTCACGGTCGCCGACGCGACGGTCGGCTGGCTTTCGAGCGCGCGATATAATTCCGTCGCGCGCCCCTAACGAAATAAAAGTTTCATCGTGGAATCCGCTTTTACGGGAGCCTCAGCTCGCGATATGATCCCCCTACTCCGTCGCGCATTTCGCGGCGACAGCATAAAATCAGATATTCCAGTCATATTTGTTCAGACAATACGAGTGCATAAACTCCAGCATTAAACAAATACGCGGTATTATAACAACGTAACGACGTTGCTGCAGTGTACGCGCGCCTGCACGTGCGCACAGATTCGCGCGCGCGCACACACACACACACACACACACACACACACACACATACTATGTGAAGATGAATAAAAGAAGATAAACGAATTCGTGCGCGCGCGTTAGCCCCGATTCTCAATTAAATCCCCTCGTCTCTCTCATCTACACAGAGAGAGAGAGAGAGAGAGAGAGAGAGAGAGCGAAGCACGCACTGACGCGTGCCATTTTATTACAATAACATGAAGTTTACTATCTCGCGGCCGTATTTATTCTCAACTGCATGCCGCTTTAGCTCCGCTTTAGCACCGCCGCGATATCGCGCGACGTTAGACGAAAGCGGCGAGAGATGGACACGCCGCGGCGTGTCGGATTAATAAACGAGGCGAGCGCTATAAAATAAAGCTGGGAGAGCTTTCGTTGCACTCACCGGTTCTCCATGTTGCATTTGCCCTCTTGAATCTTGCAGTTGATCTTGAACTCCTTGAACATCTGGGTGCACACCTTGTCGCGTCCGCAAACGTTGACGGCGTGATTGCACGTCGGCAACGCGTCTATCGAGAACTGATCCTTGTCTGCAAAGACACACATTCAACATGGTGAGATGAGGGAGTCATTATCGGGAGCGAATGGTTGATTCGCCGAGATGTTCCCGCGAGAGATGCCTCTTACAAATAACACTACCTAACTGTCACTCACCATTCGATTCCAATGAAATTTGGTATGCACGTAGAACATTGAAAAATATTGAACACGTGTTCTTTTATATCGGCTGACAACGCATTTTAAGGGTGGAGATCACCCCCTTGATCCCTGAACATGAAAGCACTATTTCAACCTTTTGTACATATTACATGTGATTTCCGTCAAACTTGTCTTTCACTGAACTAGTCAGTAAGGGGTTTCTAGGGTCACTGATTGCGAATCTGGAGATAAAATTCAAGATTCAAGATGGCGGAATATGACAGATGGCGGAATATGACGCAATATGACAAATCGAAATTGTACCAGTGAAGGAGGATATTGCCTCAGGCAATTACATTTATTGAATTTAACAATGAATCGATATTCAAAATTGACCTGTCGCGTCAGTTTTTTTTTAGATTGGGAAGTTGGTCTTGCAAAAGATTATTATCCGTCAGTATCCGAGCGGAATATATATATGATATTCTGACATATCTTGATAAGATATAGATACAGATATCTTGATCTCTTATGCTTTATTTATTTGCTATATTTATTCATTTATTTATATCCTATTTATTTATATATTTATTCATATTCATTCATATTATTTATCTAAATTCTGGACTTGAACAGCAAAAAATCTATTAAGGTTCAGAACGTTAATCTTAACGTCCAGAAAATTTATATAATTAATATCCTTGAAAGTTTACAATAAACCTTCTTAAAAATCTTACAAGTAAAACACATTACAATAATAATAATAATAATAATAATAAAGTGCAACAAACGAATTATATTTTGATTTCCAACTTCAGATTCGTAATTAGAGGCCCCAAAAACCTTCAGATACCAAAATTGGTTTGAATCAGTCATCTTTTTACAATTTCGGTCCGCCATCTTAAATTTTGTAATTTTATCTCCAGATTTGCAATCAGTGACCCTAGAAACCCCTTACTGACTAGTTCAGTGGAAGACAAGTTTGACGGAAATCACGTGTAATATGTACAAAGAGTTGAAATAGTGCTTTCATGTTCAGGGATCAAGGGGTGATTTCCACCCTTAAAATTGCGTTGTCAGACGATATAAAAAAACACGTGTTCAATATTTTTCAATGTACCACGTGCATGCCAAATTTCATTGGAATCGGTGAGTGACAGTTGGGTAGTGTTTTACTTGTTAGCTACGCAATCATACAGCGAGGGAGGAGGCCAAGGCGAACGACCCGATTAACGAGCGAGAAACCTCACGGTGAAAATTAATGAACCAACGGAATCTCGCGTATATTCGCATTGAGATGAAAGTTCGTCAATCGGGGAGACGTGAGCGGAACGACGACGTCACACACGGCGAAATCTCGCGAACGCGTTGCGGCCGTTAACGCGAATTATTACGTCATTTGCCTATCGCGGTCGAACTAACGCCGCTGCGCCGGTTAGTTGGCCGAGATTAACGCGTTCAATGCCGTGCCGATTCCGATTAACCATACCAGAGCCTAATTAAGCAACGCAAACCCGATAATGCGCCGGAATATATACGCGACTTTTTACGCGTTACTTGGCTCGGCTTCGCCGCCACCGGTGCAGCCGGCCGGCTTGTAATACGCAGAGCGCGCGCGTTAAATGCGCTCAATCTTGTATGGTCGAATTATAATCGGGCGTTATCGAAGCTGGCCCGAAGCTTCAAACGCGATGCGTAACGCAATCGCTGATAAATTGAATCTCGGCGTAAATGCCGAGAAGAATCATTCATTTCAGTCCGTGAACCACCGCCGCGCGACTCGAATCCTTGTCGAAAGGGGTGAGTTTCCCTTCGCTTCCTGGAGCTTTTGCCCCTCCCCCCTCCCTCCTCCTCTTTCTTCTTGTTAACAAACTTTCGTCATGTTTTCGTGTTCAATTGTTGCGATAGTATTCGCGACATCGAGGTTGCTCACTTATTAGAATCCGTCTGCTCGCGGTCGATTATCGATGCGCATTTCTCTCCCCCCGAGGACGACAGCTCGCTCTCTCCGCTTTGTACCGTTCCCTCCGTGCCTTCTCCTCCCCTCCTCGCTCTCTTCCGCTCTCGCCTTTTGTCGAGGAAGTAAAGAAACATCCAACCGCTCTCTTTTACCTTCCTCCCCGCCGGCGTTCTCTTTCATTTTATCGTCGGGGTATTCTCTCCGCTCCCGTTCTCTCTCGCTCTACCGAACTGTATTCCGTGCACGGCCCGTCAAATCAAACACGATCGCCCGATGATAAGCTGCGGCTAGCTCACTCTCTCTCTCTCTCTCTCTCTCTCTCTCTCTCTCTCTCTCTCTCTCTCTCCCTCTCTCCTCACGGTCGATTTGTATCGCCACTTCCTACCGGAGTTTGTTTTACCTCTCGTGCCCGCAACTTACAGCGGGTAAAACGGTGTTCGCGCTCGTAGAAAAATTTAACGCGCTTCTATTTTATCCCCCTGAAAGTTCCTTTTTGTTTCGCGTTGAGAAGTAAATGCATGCACGGTCGCGCGAAAGTAAAGCAAATTCGCGAGAGAGGGGAAGAGAGATAAAGAGAAAAAGAGGAAGGGTGGGAGGGAGGGAGAGAGAGGGAGAGAGAGAGAGAGAGAGAGAGAGAGAGAGAGGGAGAGAGAGAGAGAGAGAGGGAGAAAGCGGGGGGAGAAAGCCGTGCGCTTTCAGCGGAGACCGTGCAACGCGAGAAAAGCTCTTTGAAAAATCTTCAGCGACTTTCGTAATAGCGCCCGTGAAATTCACGCTGTGACTTCTCGCGAAATTTGCCGAAAACAGCCCAGCCATCCGCACGTTCGAAGCTTCACCGGCGGTATTGCGCGACATACACATACAGATAGCCGCGTACGATTCGGCCTGCGGTTCTCTCGTGGGCTATATTTTGCTTTTTTTTCTTTTCTCGACCGCGACTCGCCCCCTTGCTTCCGCTTCCTTTTTCGAGGCACGGGAGCGAATTTAATCTCATTAAGTGCCGAAGCTTCCTGGTATAGCCAACGCCGGCCGCGCCGCGCCAGAGTTTCCATTATCCACCACGCTCCTGTATGACCGGCTTTTGGCAGGATAAATGTAATTAAGCTGCGATCCGAGCCGACCTAATTGCGCAACTTATTACCACGTCGAATCATGCCCCCGCTCCTCGCCGCGTCTTGCGGATTAGCTCGACTGTCGTTAGGTAGTCGCCGATTCGTGCGTTCTCGACGGGCTCGGGGCGCATTTAACGACGGCGATCTGTGAAAGGAGCGGGTGAAAAATCGCGAGAAGGACCGCCTGACGGGACTTCGATCGAATTTTGAATCTGAGAATCTCTTCGGAGGAACTGGCTAAGGCGACAAATATCGAGCGCCTAGCGATTCGCCAAATAAAGCCGACAATATCCGACCGTCGACGCCCGCGGCTAAGAGTTTCCCTTTCTCCTTGTCTTTTTTCTCTCCTCTTCTTCCCCCGGTCGAAGACGAGCGTTTTCTTCACGACGACGACGGGGACGGCGATAGAAAATGCAAAAAAATGAAAAAGAGAAAAAAAGATGGACCAGGGAGGCAGATGGGGGGCTGGAGCGAATGAAAAGAAGCGCATCGGGAATTATCCGTTGAATCGTTTGAAAAAGCTCAAAAGAGTCGTCGGCGCGGACGAGCGAGCCCTCGGGAAAATCAACAATGAAGCCCGTAGGAGCGAAGTTATATAGGGTGGCGAGGTCAAAGATACCGCGAGGCTTTTGTTTCACCAGTCCGCCCTTAAGGAGGAGAACGCCCGAGTGGCGTCTCTATCGTCGAGGTTACGCTCTGTGCCGTTTGGAAAAGTCATCGAGACGACACTATTGAAATCACTCCAACTCCACTTTTTTTTTCCATGGGAAAACACCGGAGTGTGTTAATAACCTCGCTGATCTTGCTTTAAATATGTCGTATTTTTTTATGTGTTTTTACATCTTTCGCACGTTCGGGATTAAAGCAACGCATTTAAATTTGACGCGTTTTACGATTGTGCGCTGTAAAAATTTTTTTTAAATGTTGAATGAAAGACATATAATGGAGAAAAGCAGTGAGAAATTAAGATAAACGAAGAGAATAAAGAGAATATCTTAATAGGGCATAAATTTTGACCTGAAATATTTTCTCACATTTCAGACTTTGAGGATATTTTTTCATTGTCAGTTTTGTCGAGTTTCTTTCGAGCAGATCTTAAAATCTCTAAAAAAAGGAAAAAAATAAAGAAGAAACATTTGATATATATATATATATATATTGCCGAAGGACTGATTATACAACTTTGTCAACTTGTCGGTCTCAATCGTCGAAAATAACACGCCTCGAAAAATAACTCGCGATTAATATATAATATGCGCGCGTGGCAACTGAGGATGAATATCGTGCGGCATGTACGCGGCCTTACCTTTCTTGTTGAGGACGTAGACGCACGGGTGGTCAAACAGGAAGTTCTGGAAGCTGTTGCAATCCGGATCGACATGCGGCTCCCTGCAGAGGCACGTCGGTCGGAAGAAAGTGAAAGCTTGCAACGTGCGCAGAGCCGCCTGACACTTAGTCACCGTCACCGTCGAGCAGGCCACTGCAACCGCGAAATTATTATTAGAGCGACGCGACAATGCCCCCGAGTCGAATGACAAATCGCGCTCGCGGATTTTAGCACGCAACAGTCGCGGTTGCCGCGCGCAAAGCGGCGCCGCATGTAGGGTTGCCAAATCCAAGAGTTAAAATTACCGGACATTTCTTCTTTGGTAACAAACCCAAGCCGGACTAAACCGGACAGAAATAATAATCATAACATTACATTAAATACAAAATATAACAAGTACTTATTTACAATATTAATTCCCAAACAATTTTATAAACAAGATTTGATTGAATAAAATAATAAACTACTACTTTTTTAATATATATGGAATGATGAATCGGCAGGTCACATCTACTAGATGGCTTTTCGTGGCGTTCGATCGTTTGTAGGCACTTGAAACGGAGAAACGTTGCTGAAATCTGAACTTTCATTCTATTGATTGGATATAACTTAAAAACCGGACACATGACGTGCGGTTTGATTTGTTAACCGGACACTGGACAAGACTTCTGAAAACTTGACAGTCCGGCTCAAAACCGGGCAGTTGGCAACCCTAGCCGCACGCCGTAAGGCGCACAATGGGACGAAACATAGGGATGTGCGGACATCGTACTTTGCAGGCAAAATATAGCAATTAGCGGAAAGCTGAATATTGGGATGAAAACATTTGGTCAAAAGACGATTACTCATAAACAAAAACTTAACTTTCCAAATGTTTAAAAAATTACTGTTTAAACAATTCGTTGAAAAATGCGAGATACAAGGAAACTGATAGTGTCATTCGATTCTACGGGAAAAACTACATAGAATCTATGTGCTGGACAATTTTTTCTCAACTCTTTATTAATGAAATAAAAAATGTTTCAATGGGTTGTCTTCTACCGCCGCACACAGTGGAACGAAACTTCAAATTCTGTGGACATCGACTAAAATTCTGTTCGGAAACAAAATTTTGTGCAGGAATAAGTTTTAATAAAATTAATTTTCATAAAATATTTTATTTATAATATTTTTGTATACCATTTTGATAATAATAGTATTGTAACGAATATATATAAATGTATAGTGTTCTTATTCGGTTTCAACAGGCACTACGTGAAGGTAAGGAACAAGCCTTGGGTAAGTTATATCAAATCTTCTTGCATAAATTCAATTAATAAAATATTTGTTACATATTTTTGAAAATTTTAAGAATAAACAATCTGTATGAAAACACAAGTGAAAATTGCAAGACTAGTGTATTTTGTAAAATAAAATTCGTGAAAACAGCCAAGGATAACAACACAGCACAGAGGTTCTTCGCAAATCCTTTGATTACGTGTGTATGAGTAGAACTGGATTAAACGAGAAGACTATTCGAAATTTTGCGATTCTTTTTCAATCCGTTGCAACAGATTGAAAAAAATATATGTCTAGTTTCTTATCTATGTGATGATGACTTGAAACCAAACAGGAATATTTAAAATTCAATAAAAAAAATATTGTTATAAAAATATTGTGGAAATATAAACAGGACTTTTACTGAAATTTTCATTACGAATGATCGGGCGAAATTCTGTCTCCGAACCGAATTTTCATTCATGTACAATTGTATATACAATTGTAATATGTTAGATGTTTTCTATCCACTATACGATGAGAATCTATAACCATTATAGGAGAAAAGATCGCACGAGATCGCAGCTGAAACCTATACGGTTTTTTACTATATGAATGGTTTTTCTAAATCCTATTTAGTAGATCTTGAACAAATGTGAACATTTTTTTAAATTATTCAATAAACATGTATGAGTTGAGTTACGATTTCGTTCTAATTCATCATAGAGAAAAATGCGTAAAATATAACAAAATCTGGCAACGGATATGATAAAAATCTTCTTGAAGAACCATAGAATTGTGTACAATAAGATAGACAAGGATCGATAATTATTTATATAAAATACAGTGAACACAAATGGACGACTTATGCTTAACACATTTTACTTATCACAGAAACTCGAGACTTTAGACGCTTACAGTATCTATATTACTCATCACTTTATATTTTCTGTATTCGGATCATATATTAGAACTATTTTGCAATACATTCTACACTAGGAAAAATGTATTATTGCGTGAACCAAAATTTTGTTGTGACAATAAAATAATTTGGTTAAAATATGCCCAACAAAACTGTTTAACAAATTCCTGTAAACAAATATCTTGTTTGATTACGGTTTGTTCGTACAACGTAATACTTTTGTTATAGCAACCAAAAAGCTTTAATTACATGAATTTTGTTAAAAATACTATAAATTTTTCTTAATATATAAAATCTAAATTTTAGTGCACAGAAAGACAAAATAGTATCCATTGGGCATTATTTTAGTTTATGTAAAATAATATTTCGTTATGTAATTTTTATGGATAAAATAACTAAAATGCTTATTTCTTATATATTTAGTTGAGACAACTAAATATTTTGTTATATAAAACAATAAAAAGATATTTGGTTGCTATTAAAAAATGCCTCAACTAAACAGTTTGGTTAGAGATATTAAATTTTTTTTCCTACTGTAGTAGATGAAGTTGTGAAATTCGAACTTTTATTTTTGGCTCGATGTCCACTTTTTCACCGTTTCGATCGACTGTGCGGCGCACACGCGCGGATCGGCCAGTGGCGCGCCGAGCGTGACTTACCATTTGGCAGAATCGCCAAGTGTTCCGCTCGTCAGGGTAGACTCGAGAGTTATAATGCCCCGATGTGCATTAACGTGAACGCGCGCACGAGCACCTCAAGCGAGCACGAAAAAGCGACGACGCCGGTGAAACGAACGCGCGTCGCTCCGAGCGCGCAACGTGATCGCGCGTACTCGAGCGGATGTTACTTTTCACGGTGAGTCTGTCGATGCAGATTGTTGCAAAACGCGATGACGAGAGACCATCGCAGCGAGCGATTAATCTCCCCGCCGATCGCCTCCACCCTCGCGCGCTACCTCGTTCCGACGTTGATCCCCGCCGGTTCTCGCCGACAACGAGCGAAAAGCGTAGAACGCGCGGAATTTCGGCCGTTCGCCGACGTCGCGTTGAAATTTCGCAGAAATGCGCTGCAAACGCGGCTGAGATCTCGGATGCATCGGTCGTCCCGTCGGTAATTCTGCAGCGAGCAATTCGCAGCTCCAAATTTAAGCGAGAACGAAGGAACAGCTCAATTTGACACGGAGCATGTTCACCGTCGAAATTTACCGCGTGTCCAACTTACAACTATTTTGAATATTCCACGATTTTGTTAATCAGCCACCACAGTATACCACAGATACGAGATAACCGGTAATGTTACATGAAGATAATTACACACAATTGTACAATCGTACACGACGAGATCGACGAGAGGATCTCTTCGCACGCGAAATAAATTTCTTGATGTGTCCGAACGCAACGAGCGATGCACACGCGTTTAAGCGCAAATCCGACGTAGCCGATAATCGTAAGCGGCGAGGTCGTAGAAAGTGCATTTGAATAATTTCACGTGAAGTATATCTCGTGTGATTGTAATCATCAAAGCGATAACGATGGGTTATCATGCGATACGTGCGCACGTCGCGCGTAGGATGCGCCGTGAAACGTGCGCAAATGCGACACGGACGCTTCGGATCATAGCTTATATCCGCCGCACGGTCGACAACGGACTCAAAATAATCGCGAAATCCGGGCGAAAGTCATTATACAGCAACCGGCTGAATTTATCAACGACGCGAACCCCGTCACCGTTGTGATGTAATAGTAACAATTATTTGCCATAATACACGCTCGTGCATTAATCGCGCCACAACGAGGCTGTGGCGTTAATGTATGCCGCTGTTACAGAATATTCACGATGCGGTTTAATCTATTTATTGTTGTCGCCCGATACGTCGTTTTTCCGTTTCGCCATTTCGGGACGTCACACGCGTGACGCAAGAAGGAACCGCCGAAAGCTCGAAGAATACAAGACGCCGCCCGGAGCTTCACGCCAAGAATTCTCCGCTGTGGACTTTATCCGGCGACTAACGACGCAGATAACGAATATTACGATTAATTTCAAGATTGTTGAGAGTTGCTCGCATACTTTCGACAATTTTTCGCGGGGCATACCGAGCCAGCCGTCGGCGGCGCGGCTAAGGTGATTTCGACGCTCCGAGCGTTCTCCTTCGAGATCGGCTCGGGCTTCATTCAAGATTCCGTCGCTCGCGGCTTAATTAGTACAGCGTCGTTCGGAGAAAGAATGGAAGCGAGAGGGCGCCTTAATTACTATCCCGAGACACCGTAAGTTTCGTAATAACCGAGCGGTGCCAGACTATAAGTAATGAATCCAGATGTCGGCGTCGTCGTCGACGACGACGACGACGTTCTCGTCGTCGCCGAATGTCAGACGGAAAAATGACGGAGTGGCAGCGTGAAAGTTTCAATTACATTCTGATGTTATCACCTGCCGCTTCTTCGTCCCTCCTCGATTCATTCCGCCGGTTCCAATGTTTAACCCCATCCCGGGCCATTTCTCTCAGCGCGCACCCACGTCCCTTCATTAAACACGAAGCAGGGCACTTAAAAGGGAATATCTCCGGTAGTTTGGAAGTTACGAAGAACAGCAGTGAGAGAATGCGAGAGAAAGAGAGAGAGAGAGAGAGAGAGGGGGAGAGAGAGAGAGAGAGAGAGAGAGAGAGAGAGAGAGAGAGAGAAGGAGGGAGAAAAAAGAAGAAGAGTCTCAGCGAGGAGAGTTTCAGGAGCTAATATTGTGACAGGAGGGTAATCTCTCTCACTGGGTCAGCTGTCCCGAGTCCCCTCGAGAGGAATACTAATTTACATCGGTCTGCCCACAAATGGAGCTGATTGCGCGATTTCCGACGCGATACGCTAATTAATATTTGAGAGGTTGAAAGTCGGGAGCGGGACCTCTTTCTATCCCGAGTCAAGTCCGAAGGGCAGCGCGGTCTCGCCGGACTGCGAGTGTTACCAAAGTATTCGCCCGGATTACA